ACGTGAGTTGTGATATGATTTACTGAACTTGTAATTCTGTATAATGAACTTGTGATCTACCATACCTTAATTGTAATTTGGTTTACTGAAGTTGTCATTCGGTATAATCAACTTGTCATCTGCCATACACGAGTTGTGATATGGTTTACTGAACTTGTCATTCGGTATAATGAACTTGTCATCTGCCATACGTGAGTTGTGATTTTGTTTACTGAACTTGTCATTCGGTATAATGAACTTGTCATCTGTCATACCTAAGTTGTGATTTGTTTACTGAACTTGTAATTCTGTATAATGAACTTGTGATCTGCCATACCTGAATTGTAATGTGGTTTACTGAGGTTGTCATTCGGTATAATAAACTTGTGATCTGCCATACCTAAGTTGTGATTTTGTTTACTGAACTTGTAATTCTGTATAATGAACTTGTGATCTGCCATACCTGAATTGTAATCTGATTTACTGAGGTTGTCATTCGGTATAATAAACTTGTGATCTGCCATACCTAAGTTGTGATTTTGTTTACTGAACTTGTAATTCTGTATAATGAACTTGTGATCTGCCATACCTGAATTGTAATCTGATTTACTGAGGTTGTCATTCGGTATAATAAACTTGTGATCTGCCATACCTAAGTTGTGATTTTGTTTACTGAACTTGTAATTCTGTATAATGAACTTGTGATCTGCCATACCTGAATTGTAATCTGGTTTACTGAGGTTGTCATTCGGTATAATAAACTTGTGATCTGCCATACCTAAGTTGTGATTTTGTTTACTGAACTTGTAATTCTGTATAATGAACTTGTGATCTGCCATACCTGAATTGTAATCTGGTTTACTGAACTTGTCAATATGTCATAGTGAAGGTGTCATTTCCCATAGTGAACTTGTTGTTGTATATACTTACTTGATTAATGTCTTTTACATGCAGGAGCTGAAGAAGTTACGTGAGCGCCTAATGAAGAGGATAGAGGAAGGGCAAAAGATGCTAATGAAAATGGTGGATGAGGAGTTGGTGAAGGTGCAAATCCCAAGACAGGGAGATGGTGGGAAGGGTAAATCAAGAGGAAAGGCTCGGGTTGAGACAGTGCCTACAAATAGAAGTGACTCTGAAGATGATGAGGAGGAGAGGCGCAACAATGATGACACAACTGAGGAAAAGGAGAAGGATGAAGTAAGCAGTGAAGATGGAGACAGTCATGGGAAGGGCGACACAGAGAATGACAGCGACAATGAAGAGATGGAGGAAGAGGGTCAAGGGGATGGTGATGACAGGAGCGAAGGGGAGAGGGAATACAAGGGTGATGCAGAGGGTGACATACCTGCAGCCAGTCCCCCTAGGGAAGTGTCACCCACCATTGAAGGTGATGAGGCAGAAGGTCACTCACCGATGGAGGTATCCCCCCTGGCCATTGTTGAATATGTTGGGCCTGATCCAGAACCTGTATCTGTGGAGGCACAACAACTAAGGAGATCTACTAGGGTTCGGTTCAGCAAGATCAAGTCTCCTTGGTTGGAGTTGAAGGCACAATCAAGAGTGAAGAGGCCTATGGAGCCCAAGGATATTTTTTTCAACTTAGTCAGCCGAGCTGTCAAAGGTGATGAGGGTGAGATGTAAGTGAAAATCTTTGCTTATGTGATCTTATTTGTTGACTACATGTTAACATAACACATCTAGTAACTCACTTGAATATGTTTTAGTCCTTTGATCAGAATGTTTGATGAAGACATCCCCCGACGATTGCTGCATTCGCTTGGTGGAAATAACAGGGTGAGTAACCGAGTGATGTCGTTGGTCTGTAAGGCTTTGGTGCAAGAGCAGCAGGCAGTTGAAGGCCGAGTTAAGAGGCATATATTTGATGCAGACTTCATGGTGAGGTTTCTGTATTACTAATAGGCTTTGTTGATTTACAAGATTGGAAATGAAAATGATAGAATAAAGTGTGTTACAGTGAATAAGAACTTGGTTTTCTGCATTTCACAGGCCATAATGACCCGTGATCCAGCTCGTTGGGATCCTAACCAGCATGCACGACAAATACTTCCGCATTATGTTGGCTACAACATAGGTGACTGTGACTTGATTTTGGGTCCTGCTCTAGTTGGGGAGCATTGGTTCTGTTTTGCATTCGAACCAAAGACCCAGAAGTTTAATGTCCTTGATTCCATGCGAGCAAGTTTACAGCGTAAGAAGACCACCTCCAAGCAGAAGAAGGCAGCCACATATGACCCCCAAGAAATGGCCATCACCGGATGTGTAAGATGTTACTGACCTGTGCATGTTAGATAGGGAAATGACAGTTTTATATTGTTATCCTTTTGATGAATATGGCATATGTGCAGAGGGATCGGTTTGAAGACATACTTCACATGGTCAGACCAGATTTTAGTGATAACTTGAAAATTGTCTGGCCTGATGTACCACAGCAAAAAAATTTGTGAGTGTATACACCCTACTCATGTGATATGTTATTTGGCTGTGTTGGTTTGAGGAGCTGAAACTGTTAGGGTGGTGTTGTGGGCAGGAGGGACTGTGGTGTGCATGTGCTCATATGGCTCAAGAAATGGGAGCCTGATGTTTCCCTTGAATATACCGAGGTATTGACATTACCTTATTTATTGTGCAATCAAGAGTGACCACGTGTGACTTGTTTGGTGGTAAACTTGCTGTGCAGGCTGATGTGTCCTCTTTTCGGCGCGAGCTGATGTGGTGGCTGGTGAACCATGATGACAATGAATGCCGTCAGAAGGTGTATGATCTTATCTCACAACCAGAGAAGGGCCGAATGACCAAGAAGAGGAGAACGTCTTTATAGAGAGCATTTAAATTAGGCTGTGACTTTTACTAACTTTGTCAATTGATTCATTTGTTGAAATTGTATGCCAATTATTGTAATGGTTATGATATGCTTGGATTGATGGTATAACAGCACTTATATTTGGAATGACAAATTTCCCTTTAGTCAGGCCAAATGGCCAATGACAAGTTTAGTACGGGTAACGACAAGTTCATTATGGCCAATGACAACTTGTGAAAAGGTTTTCATACAAATTTGTGATTATGTATTAAAGGTGGCTAAATTTGCACATTGATTCACGGAATGAGAGGTTGACAAAGGAAAATGACAAGTTGACAATGCCAAATCACTAGTTCCCAAGATGTTTTCATGCAAGGGAAAATTTCTATTCCAATTAGTGGAATTCCACTTACGACAATCACAGAATGACAGGTTCACTAACGAAATTGACAAGTTGACTAGTGAAACTTACAAGTTCCCATAAGGTTTTCATGAAACCGAGATTGTCCGTTGAGATGAGTGGATTCCCACTTATGATAATCACGGAATGACAAGTTCACTAAGGAAATTGACAAGTTGACTTGGGAAATTTACAAGTTCCGATAAAGTTTTCATGAAACCGAGATTGTGTTGAAATTAGTGGATTCCCACTTATGATAGTCATGGAATGACAAGTTCACTAAGGAAATTGACAAGTTGACTTGGGAAATTTACAAGTTCCGATAAAGTTTTCATGAAACCGAGATTGTCTGTTGAAATTAGTGGATTCCCACTTATGATTGTCACGGAATGACAAGTTCACTAAGGAAATTGACAAGTTGACTTGGGAAATTTACAAGTTCCGATAAAGTTTTCATGAAACCGAGATTCTCTGTTGAAACTAGTGGATTCCCACTTACGATAATCATAGAATGACAAGTTCACAAACGAAAGTGACAAGTTCACTATCAAAATTACAAGTTCGAATAATGTTTTCATGAAACGACTGGATTTTCACTACTGGTGAACACAAAGTTACAACTTCAGAAAGGGAAATGACAAGTTTATTATGGAAAATGACAATTTCCCAGAAGGTTTTAATACATTTTCATACTTTTGAACACAGTGATTACATTGCATATTTCCAAGAGCAACCACTTCTAATCAACGCAGAATGACAAGTTGACATTGCCAAATGACAACTTTACTATGCCACATGACAAGTTCCTATAAGGTTTTGACACATTTCGTTTTCTGACAGTAACCACTTCTGATAAACACGGAATGACAACTTCATATGTGCAAATGACAACTTTACTATGCCACATGACAAGTTCCTATAAGGTTTTGACACATTTCGTTTTCTGACAGCAACCACTTCTGATAAACACGGAATGACAACTTCATATTGCCAAATGACAACTTTACTATGGCACATGACAAGTTCCTATATGGTTTTGACACATTTCGTTTTCTGACAGCAACCACTTCTGATAAACATGGAATGACAACTTCATATTGCCAAATGACAACTTTACTATGCCACATGACAAGTTCCTATAAGGTTTTGACACATTTCGTTTTCTGACAGCAACCACTTCTGATAAACACGGAATTACACTTTGCACATTTCTGACAGCAACCACTTCTGATAAACACGGAATTACACTTTGCACATTTCTGACAGCAACCACTTCTGATAAACACGGAATGACAACTTCATATTGCCAAATGACAACTTTACTATGCCACATGACAAGTTCCTATAAGGTTTTGACACATTTCGTTTTCTGACAGCAACCACTTCTGATAAACACGGAATGACAACTTCATATTGCCAAATGACAACTTTACTATGCCACATGACAAGTTCCTATAAGGTTTTGACACATTTCGTTTTCTGACAGCAACCACTTCTGATAAACACGGAATAACAACTTCATATGTGCAAATGACAACTTTACTATGCCACATGACAAGTTCCTATAAGGTTTTGACACATTTCGTTTTTTGACAGCAACCACTTCTGATAAACACGGAATTACACTTTGCACATTTCTGACAGCAACCACTTCTGATGAACATGAAATTACAAGTGCACAAAAGCAAATGACAACTTAACTATGCAAAATAACAAGAAGTGACAAGTTCTGATTTCTTTCACAGCAACAAGTTCTTTACAACATTCAATGACAAGGGCACATTAACTTACATCTTCCACTTAATGTCCCTTTGTCCCAAACATAGAAGTAACAAAAAATATATGTGCACATCTACTAACATCCTGCTCCTAAAAAAATTAAGAAGGATGAACCCTATATGTGCCAAAAAAATTAGTTGTCCCATTTGTAAGTGGAAGTCAACTTGGGTTAGGATTTTTGCATGTCCTCTTTGTATGTCCAGGATGAAGACATCTAGTGCAATGATATATTTTTTTGTTGTGGAATTGTGATTCCTTTCTATTTCTTCTTGGTCTTCCAGAAGGCCTAGCAGTGACTGGGGGTAAAAGCAAGGGTTGAGCAGTAAGATTCTCAAACGTATAGTCATTCAGGTGAGGCATATCAATTGTCACCACTGGAACCATGCTCCGGGCATAGATTTTTTCTTGGGATGAACGTTTGTAACACTCTTCAACATAATCATAAACGTTTCCCCCTATGGTCTTAATGGCTGCACAAGCATGTGAGCATGGAATCCCTAACATTTGCCAAGTTCCACAGCTACATTTGTGTAGGCCAAGGTCCACTCTTTGGTCTCCACGTGATGTGTGCACGCATATTCTTCCCCCTCCATAATTCTCACAGTGCATGTACCTACCGAAATACACATGCTCCAATACTTTTGCCTCTATTTTTGGCCCAACGCAATTACTCCACTTAGTCATTGCTGCATATGATGCATGCATCTTTCTTGCTACTTTCTCCCGGTGCTCATGGATCATTTGGGCCACGTTATGCTTCCTCTCCCTTACCATCCAAGCATTAAAAGATTCAGCTAAATTAGTTGTTATGTTGTCCCACCTTCTATATGGGAACTTGCTCAATGCCCACCTATCCACATCACCTTGATTGATAACCCACTCATATAACTCATGAGACATGGTTCTGAGATCATCCAGCGCATGATCAAACTCATCCGCAAGTCTTGCATAAGCCACTTTATCCAGTACCTTTAATGCATCTTCCTTTGAATTTTCACTTGTCCTTCTCCGACCTCTGTTTAATTTCATATATTCAGAGCTAAAGTTCTCCTTCACATGCCTATAACAGTATGCATGCCTTTCACCCCCAAATATTGCTTGCACAGCACCAATTATAGAATTATGTCTATCTGACACAATAGTCAGTTGCATTGAACCAACAATTTGTTTAATCTTGTGAAAAAACCACGTCCAGTCATCAAGATTCTCTCCCTTCACCACTGCTATTGCAAACGGCAACATCTCATTATCCGCATCATATGCCGAAGCTGACAGTAACATGTCCCCTTATATGGACCACTTAAATGAGTACCATCAACATATAATATAGGCCTTGCACCGTTCAAAAAACCCTCAACACATGCACCGTATGCAATGAACACACGCTCAAATCTATTACCAATGGAGGCCCATTCAGCAACCGTTTTGTCATCAGTTTCCTTCAACCTTTCACATAACCATGGTATTAACATATAGGACTGTTCCGGTTTCCCATGTATTTCTTCCATTGCCTTTTCTTTGCTCTATATGCCTGACAATATGTAAGCCTCACACCATACTCCCTCTCCAACATCTTCCTTATCTCAGTGGGCCGTTTTTCAGCATGGTCCCTTATCTCTTCAACTATTACTGATGATGTCAACGCAGCACTCCCACCATAAGTCACAATCAAATTGTCTTGGGCTGAATGAATGTGCTTATTGCAAAATGTAGTCACACGTAATAGATGACTGTTCTTTCCAACAGCATTTGCACATATCTTCCAAGGACACCCTTCTACTTTACACCTCACATTCATCTTCTCCTTACTATTCCTGATATATCTTGCTGCAAACTTCTCTGCAATACTGAACCTGTACACAGCTTCCCTAAAAGCAACAGCATGTGGAACATATTGGCCCACTCCTACAAACACTCCTGCCCATTTCGTACAATTCATCTCCCCCGTCAGTCTTCCCTGACTCTCTGAACCACTACACTTGCTTCTCTGACTTGATCCGCCTCCTTCAAAAGTTAGGCATTCAACTCCATTCTCAACATTCACTGGCTCATGTTCATCACCAATGGTCGTTTCAAATGTATTCATGTATTGTGAAAGTCCAAATAAATTCTCACTCCTGCCACCATAATACCAAGTTAGGACAGCTATATTCAAACGACAGGTTTGAATAAAATAACATGTCTACATATCTAAATAACAAGTCCGCATATGGTTATTACAACTTTACTAACTAAAATAACAAGTCTACATCTACAAACAATTCCTTGCTCAATTAACAAGTCCGTAAGTGGTAATTACAACTTGAGTTACTCATATAACAAGTTTCCATATAGAAACTACTGGTTAGTAAAATAACATCTACAGATCTAAATAACAAGTCCGTATATGATAATTATAACTTCAATACGTTGAATTACAAGTCTACATATGGAAATCTCTGCTTATGTCTAATAACAAGTCTGCATTTCTAAAACACAAGTTTACAAATGGAAATGACATGTCCACTATGTTCAATAACATGCTTGCATTTACTAATTACAATTTAGGACTGCAACACCATTAGCTTCGTTACAATATTTCTATACGAATTACCAACAATATATTAGTAAATAACAAGATTCAATTGGAAAACATAACCACTTACACGTCTGGATCATTCCTTGCTCTAGGTTCCCTATCATTCCCTTTCCCTCCTACATACACATGACCACTGCTGTCATTATATCTAAACAAGTTGCTGATATCACCATCATCACAAAGATCAATCAATGTACTCTCATCAAATTTAACTTTATACTTAATCTCATATCCACCACCATCATTGCCTATCCACTGTGAAATTATTCCACACAACTCGTCTACTGTTATCCATTCTTTTATACTGGTTACCCTTACACTCCCTCCAATATATTTAACTATCCCTTCACCATTTGCTTCAAAATGTCCACCAATGTGCACGTAACAGAACAACTCCTTCCCACAGCTTCTTCGGTTATTGAAATCCATTTTTCATACTAATCTGCAGCAAAAATTTACGTTTAGTCAGTACGTTAGCTTCACTAATAAATATTTACTCATTTATTCCATCGACTCAACCATTTACATACCAAATTAAAAACCCGTGACCTCCTGTCTTCCCAACATCACTTTAGGGCTTCACAACTTCACTTTAGGGCTTGACGACTTCAACACCGAAAATCATGGTATCGTCATTCCCTCATTTCGCGGCAACACCTCAACGTTCACGGTCAAACTAACGGCCATTATCCAACCTACACTCTGCCAAACCACTACACTCTGACCCCTTCCCCATCGCAACCACACCGTGCACTACAAATGACAGATGACCGTTCAGACTACGAAAACAAAAATATCCCACCTCCAACTAACCACAACCTCCTACATTGTGATATCGTTCATCTTCAACTACACCTCCCATTCCCTCCCTTCCTCTAGCCTACTCACCCACACAGCAAAGATGAAGATGGAGTAACTCTTACGGGGAACAATACAAGAAGGGTTTACTCAGTAAGTTACTCGCATTATTGCCAATGTTAGAAGATCCCAATATCACACATACTCGTTCAGCTCATCCTACTCCACTAGCTCTCCCGCCACCCATTAAAATCCTGGTCTCTGCCTTCATTAACAGTCATGATGAGTGAGGGGCATTTCAGCCATTTAACACACATTTCATAATTGCAAATTGGGACCGGGTCCTCTGCAACAATTTCTCAAATTCAGGGTCCCTGATTGCCATTTTATATATTGGGGGGTCTTTATTTGCAATTTCCCCTATTTTTTATTTCATATACAAGTCAAAATACACATTTTTAGCAATAAAAAAAAAGATAACAGTTGTATATACGAAAACTTACAACTCTCAATTTTGATCACCACGAAACATGAACATGAAAAATTCACGTGGTTACTGTTACACCTTACTATTGGACTGATCTGGGGTTCACTTAAAACCATTTTGGACCACATAAAAACGTAACTTTTCAGATTTTTACTGTTCATCGTGTAAAAGTCCAGTTTTATAGCCCAACTTCAAAAATTCATAACTTAATCTAGAAAAATCAAAATGGAGTGATTCAAAATTCTATAAAAAGCTATTTGAATGCTCTTTCAAGAAAAAATAATCTTGTGAACCATTTCCATTCGAAAAAGTGTCATATTTTTGTGAAAGTTACCTATGTTCTTTTGGCAAAAACTTATTTTTCAGATTCTGTTCCTTAACTTTGGAAAATCATTATAAATCGTATAGTTGGCCATTTTTAACGTGTTGGCTATCAAAATGAAGCTCAAGACGTCATCTTTAACCATGCCAAATTTTAACTTAATCAAAAAGTTGCGTGAAGGGGCTGTGTCTGGAAATTTCAGTACTGTCCAGCACCTTGATTATACAACCAAAATGTCACGAAATTTTATGGTAAAATTGCCGTAATTTAGCCTTCCACTTGCTGTTGTGACAAAAAGATTACGAATCCTCTGACTTTTGACTTTTGGGAGCTGAATATAATTGATAACTAAGATTAATTCGTGATGGGATGCGCCGATGGATGTATCAATGCTTCTATCTTCTGTCCAGAAGATTTGAAAATTTCCATTATTTTTTAGTAGAAAAAACAAAATTTTTCTCTTTTTCTTATATATTTGTTTAATTTTTGGCCAAAAAATATATTTCTTTAATTAAGAAAATAAGTCATTATGCATTTGTTTAATTAGTAGCTTTTAAAGAAAATGTTTTCCGGTCAGGTTTTGAGTTGATTTTGGTAAGACATATTTATCATATTTATTAAATTTTTTTCTAAATTACCTTCCTCAACCATAATTAAATAAAAGGGGAAGAGAGGATATTAAGGAAAGTGATTATTGTGTTTAGAAAAAATATACATATGTCTTATAATTAACTAACTTACCCAACTTCCTTAATCTAATCAAATTAGTTACTCCCTTATCATTTTGCTTCAAAGTAAGCAAAAAAATGAATTACGAGCTTAAAACAATTAAAAAATAAAAACAAATAATCAAATAAATAAATATTAATACGGAAAAGTTGGAAAGTTATAAGAAGATTAGAGAGTAACTAAAAAAAACTACTTCCCGTCCTAATATAAGAGCTAGTTGACTTATTTGAGAAGATTAAAAAAATAAGTTAAATTAGTTATTTGTAATAAATATGTGTTATCTTTTCTAAAATATACTTACTAATCAAGTCTATTGGTTATAATTACTATTATTATTAGAAGGATTATCTTGAGAAAAAATAGATAAATATGAGAGACAAAGTGGATTAGAATTTTATATTTAGAACTAAAATAAAAATCAAATAAAATCTTATATTAAAGATTATAAAAAATACTCAAGAAAATTTTATAAAAAATGTACTTACACCTAAATAATTTCCAAATTTGTCTTATCACCTGTAACTCTCTCGCCTCTCGGGTTCTCTCTGGCTCTTTCTTTTTGCTCTCTCGCCTCGCCTCGCCTCTTCCTTCCCCAACGACCCCAACGCCTGAGAAAAATCAATTGTTCTGCCAAGGGTCCGGAAGTTCAAAGGCAAGAGCTCTTTTCTCCGCGGGAAGCTTTTCTTTCAAGAGACTAATAAGTAGGCCTATCAGGGAGCAGGTGATTCAGAGCTAGCCCTGCGCTCACAAACAAGTACCCTACCTTGCTTGTAGGATAAAGCTAGGATAAGCGGAAGGAGCAGCCTGCGGCCCACACGGCGACCAACAATACCAACCTTGCAATCAATCAATTCATTTTTACAAGAAATAACTTGAAAATAAATAAATAAATATGAGAGACAAAATGGATTGAAATTTTATATTTAGGATAAAAATAAAAATCAAACGAGATCTTATATTAAGGACTAAAAGTGGTATATTGTTTTGCATTGTTTGCAAATTGGTTTGATGGCGCAATTCTCATAAAAAATTTTGGGATTTGGGGTTTGTTGGGATCAAATCCTCCTTTCATCACTTTGCCGCAAAAAATTCTTGCCCTCGGGGTAGCTTGTGAGGGCTGCTGGCTATGGTGACATTTTGTTTAAAGGAAGGGCATTTTTGTCTTTTCATCTATTTATTCCGGAATGTTCATATGTCAAGAAGCCAAACTTTTCATTAAGAAGGGAATAAAATTTAAAAAGAAAAGAAAAGAAAATGGCCAAACTTCCTTGTTTGTCCATTTTTCCGTTGGGATCATATTCCCAACACGAAGCTTTGGTGGGGCGCAATATAGTTTCAACGAAACCTGAGGCTGCACCTGCAAATCT